ACTAGTTGTATGTTCACACTTTACTATCAAAACCACCATTTCGACCACCCATTGTGCCAGTGATCAGTGTTTGGGCGAGCGGTCAATGTTTTCAATGAGCGAGCCAGCGAGCGAAAAAAAAACGTGATTAAAATGCGGTCGGTTTCCGGTCGGACAAGACCGCGTGGTCGAAAATTAAGCGTTAAGCGGTCGATGTAAAAGCGGAAGGTTGGGCGAAATGAGTACTGTATGACCATGTTTCTCGGTCGAAGTCTCGACTGACAATAATGCTGACAATGGACGTTAGATAAACACGCATTGTTTGCAACTGGAAGCTTATCACCCGTTATATCAGAATCGTCAACAACAGAGTATACAGATAAGATGTTATCATTTAAACCCTTTCAAAGATAAACATTATGCAAATATCCACGAAACGCCAGTTGTAATCTTTTCTGCTAGTGTTTTAAAACACTAATCTGAGCAACGTTATTTCGCAATTTCGATCTTTTGTAAACCTGGGGTGATGTATCAAGGTCTAAAGTAACCGTTTTATCAATTTGTGAAAAATCAAGAAAAAAGTGAAAATTTCCCTTCTCGCTACCTTAATTAATAAATGTGAAATGTTGAACATATATGTACTTGTTGTGGTACTGAATAATTTTAATTAACAAAAAAATAATTAGTTATCACATTTTTCAATTTTCTGTGATATGGACTTTTACTTTAATAAGTATGAAATTGTTAATTGATATAATAAACACTTATTAGAACTTATGTAAGCATCCTTCAGTTTATTGTGGTTGTATAAGATTTAAATAAAATGAAATGTTATTTGTATTTACTAGTACATTGCCATATTAATTTTTAATTACTAGGTTTTAAAATATGTATTTAACAGTGAAACAGTGTCTTCTTTTGTTGCCAGTAAATATATGATTTCTATTCTAATTTTAAAATTGGGATAATTTCATCTGATAATGGAAAATCAATATACAATAGCAGACACCAAGCAATGGATAATAGCAAATGTTCATGGAACAAAGATCAGAAAATCAAGTCTCTTTTTCATTACAGAACTTAACGCTAACTGAAAACTAGCTACCGAATAACAGAAAACTTGCTCTATTCTGAGAATATTGTAACATAAAAGAAAGCAGTATCAATAGGATATCCTCAAGTAAGCCCCCCCCCTTCCCCCCACAAACACATACCGAAAATTTGATGCAGTGTTGCTTGTTGCACTATATATTTTGTTAATTCCATCAAGTGGCCGGAGGCTGATGTACTTAATGCTTGTTTAGTAGCTTCCTACTGTCATGCTCACACTCACCTTCATGTGACCTT